GTGTATGTATGTATCTATATATATATATGTATGTATGTATGTATGTATGTATATATATATGTATTGGCAAAGAAGAAACTATATTAAGATCAAAAAGAGGTTACAACCCTAAGATGAGGAGCTTTGACTAAGTCCCCATGAAGCAAAAAGTTGAGAGAAGAGTTAGGTAAAGATGATACAATAACTTCATGTGATTCCCCTCCCCTCCTGGCTAAGAAATTTGCTGGCCTATTCCCTTCCATATATATGAATTTTAGATGGACTCGCAATACATTACACATGGATAAGATCTGTTTTGTCCACTGTAGAATGTGCCAAGGAGGTGTAACACTCCCTCTGACATAATCTAAAAGTGCAGAGGAATCCACTTCAATTTGCAACATATCCCAATTATTCGTAATTGCTAGTTTGAGAGCCCGAAACATAGCTAAAGCTTCAGATTCTTGTGCATCCCCAGAAGCAATTGGAGATTGATAGAACAGTAGGCATCTTCCCATATGGTCTCTGAAAACTCCCCCAATTCCAACTCCTTGTGAAGAATAACTTCCATCAATGTTGACTTTGATCATAGAGAAAGAAGGTTTTGACCAAAGAAAAATATGTTGAGATTTTTATACCTATTTTATACTAATATTGATGATATTGCACTTTAAAGAAGGGTATTTTTGATGTTTTGTTGCAGGTATGTTGACTTATGGTCATTGGAGCAAAAAAATGCAAAAAGGGGCAAAGTTGGGGCAAAAATGACCAAAATATGAAGATTTGAACGGTGAGCCCAACGGCGGGTTTTTTCCGAGAGTCCAGAATCAAATATCTAAAGGCTCGCCGATGGTGAGAACTACGGCGACAATGGTAGTTCCTTTAACAGGTGTATTGAATGTGGACGATTTTTGAAGGGACGCTTAGGCCGCTCTTGGGAAACTCTTCTACAACATTAAGAGAAACATTTGGGCCAAAAAAAGAGGAGCCCCGTGGTGGTGTCCGCTGAGTTTTTATTTTTTGTAAAGTATAGAGAGTTTAATTTAGGGTTAGTATTGTGAGAAATTCTTTGAAAGATTGTAAGAGTGGAGGGAAAGTGAGAGATTTCTTCCTCCTTGCCACTTCGAAGAAGAATTCTGTGTGTTGTAAAGAAAGGAAGAGATTCAGAAGAACTTTAAGGAGTTTGCTTGTGAAGGAATTAAAGATAAGTGATATTTATTTATTGAAGTTGTATGACTTTGCTTTTATATATTTGCTTTTATATATAACGTATCTTCTCCATGAGTTCTGAGTAGTTTTCTCTGTCTTTCTCCTTACCTTGAGATTTTGTGAAATGGTGATTTGAATTG